CAGTGTGACCCACAATGTAGGTTCACGAAACCAAAAACAAAATGGAAGTTGGCATAAGGATCATGTTGGCTTAAGCCCTTTGAAAAAGGATTCCACGAGTCAGGCTGTCTCCAACTCAATCAAAGAGGCTACCGACTTGAAACACATGGCTGATCGTCTTAAGGTTTGGTATATTTATGTTAAAATGTTCCAGTGGTTATGTCGTCTCTTCCTGGCTTAACATAGACAGTAATCTTTTGCAGAGCGGTGGGAAAAATCACGAGAGCACTGGTGTTTACTTTCAGGCAGCACTTAAGTTTCTTCATGGTGCCTCCCTTTTGGAGTCCTCTGGCAATGAGCATGCCACACATAAGAGCAATGCCAGATCCAGGGATATTTATGGCAGCACAGCAAAACTTTGCGAGTAAGTGTGGCATTCAGCAAGATCTGACTTTATGACTTTCTTCTTCTTGATTTGTTGTGCGTCTAAAAGGCGTGGATTTAATTCCTCAATTTTACTATCAAGAGGGAGCCTTCACTGTGATGGTCCTTGTTCATGTTACTCTCTCATTTTCACTGAGCTTCTGCATTGTGGCCTATAGATATTTCTAGCATGTCAAGATGTGCAAATGTTCTATTGAACCGTGTCCTCATGTCATGTAATGAAATTATATTGTTTATGTAACAGGTTCTGTGCTCATGAATATGAGAAAAATAAAGATATGGGAGCTGCTGCTCTGGCTTATAAATGTATGGAAGTAGCTTATCTAAGGATAACTTATTCCTCCCATGGAAACATAAACAGATACAGACATGAGTTGCAAGCAGCTCTGCAAGTGATTCCTTCAGGTATATAGTAAAAGAAAGAAGCTATATTCTACATGTTTCGGTTTGGGCAAATTAATCACAATTTAGAAAACTCTTGGATGGTTTGTATTTACAACAAATGGCTATGTGTGAACTATATGAAGACAGATACAAGAATGTATTAAAGATGTTGTTCCTATTTGCTTGTGAGCATGATTGTGATGAAATTATCTTTCCATCTTGTTTGGGTTTCAAACAGGTGAATCTCCTTCCTTTGCTTCTGATGGTGAAAATTCAAACCACACATTGGCAGCGGAAAAAGTTGCCCTGTCCAACACCGTGAGATCATCCCCTAGCGTAACCGGAAATCATGTTATCTCTTCAGGAAACAATTCCTCTCTTTCACAGCTTTTGGCATTTGTAAGTTCAGTAATGTTACTTTTTTTGTGGTGCCGTGAAAAACTCATACTTTAGTTTAGGTTTACAGAACATTTTAGCTGCTCTAGTTAGGCTGGGTTTAAACGACTAAATCTTTTCGTTACTGTGTATGAAAATATCAGCAGGTCTTTTAGTATGTTGTGAGAAAATTGCTTGCTTGAGCGACATGAATAGGA